AAATACTTTCTTGGGGTAAAGTGTTTATTGAATGTAAGGAATGGGGAAAAGATTCTATCAGCGGGTCTCTTTCCCATGGAGCTTACTTTTGAGGGTGGGTGGAAAAACCAAGCACCAGCTAGTTCAGCTAGAAAGAAGCTCCCCGCCTGAGGGAAGCTGCAGGATGAAGTCTGTTTGTGAAGTTACTGTCAGCATCTGAAAGCTTGAGAAGTGGCTAAGGAGCCCTTGGTGATGTGATTGACTTTAAATGTCTTGGCATTTGTGAAAAACAGATCTGCTGGCAACTGTGGGAAGAACACCCAGTCACACAACCCTAAAGTTCAGAGACAAGACCATCTGTTCACTTAGGTATTTGTTTTTGCATTTAACAAACATTTATTGAGAATATACCATGTGCCAGAGAGTGAATGAAACTTAGTCTCTGTTTCATAGTCTAGTGGGGAAAACACGTGAATTAAAAAAAAAAAATCCAGACAACCCAAAAACACTCAACCATGTATATATGGTGCTTGAGCTGTGGAAAGAGAGGTTGACCATCTCTGGGAAACTAAAGGCCCATTAGGATAGTAATATTTGAGTGGGTCTTGAATGGTGAGTGGAAGATAGGTACAGAAGAAAAAGAGCCTCCTAGGCCGAGGGAACTGTGAATGTATGGGCGCAGAAGTGTGATTCCTGTCAGTGTTGGATACTATGTGCACATGCTGCCAGGGGCGGGGTCGGGGGGAGGTGTTCATGGTGCCAGGAGACGAGGGTAGAAAATAAGGTAGGCAAGGGCTAGGCCGTGGAGGTTCTTCTAGTCTATGCCGGAAGCTGGACTGTGTCCAGAAGACACTGAAGAGCTGAGTGACACAATCAGATTTATTATGTGCCGAGAATAAGTCCCAGACTCCTCACTCCAGTGGACAAGGCCTTGGGGTCTGGGCCCCTCCCCTTCCTAGATGCTTCTCTCTTAACACCTTCATTATTTGCTATGCCCCAGCCACAGTGGTCTTCTTTCTCTGACTCAGATGTGCCAAGTTCTCCACCTGCTCTGAACTTCTGCACATACTCCTTCTGCCTGGAATCCTCTTCCCCCAGTACTTTGCAGGACTAGTTCCATTTACCCATTAGGTCTCAGCTTAAATGCCCTCTCTGGAGAGGCTGTCTGTGATCACAGTATTAAAAGTCACTGTCTCCACGCACCACCACCACCTCCCGCCCCCGGCACCATTTTCTTTCATTTTTTGCATTCCCTGTAATGCTAACTAAAATTAATAGTTACAGTTTAGTGTACTTGTTTTTCTTTTTCTTTCATATCTTTTCCAAAACAAATAACTTTTCCAAAACTCTCTGAAGGCTACATCATCTCATTTTCGACCCCCTTTCCTTAAAAAATAACACATAATCAGTATTGAACAAGTCTTTTTTTTAACTGTTTGTTTATTTATTTATTTTTATTTATTTATAGTAATCTCTAACATCCAACATGGTGCTTGAATTTATGACCCTGAGATCAAGATTCTCATACTCTATGACTGAGACAGTCAGGCACCTGACTACTCAACAGACTTTTGACTTAATGAATTAAATGGTGAATGTAATGGAGTAGAGCAGCTGTTGGTGACTTTCAACCCATGGGCTTTCATGGGCACACCACCTATTTTTGTATGACCCATGAGCTAAGAATGTTTTTCACATTTTTAAGTAATAAAAAAAATTTTAAAAAGAATGACCCATGAACTAAAGAATATTTTGTGACATGAGAAAGTTATATGAAATTCAGATTTCACTATCCACAATAAAGTTTTATCGGCACACAGGCATGCCCATGTTTTAGAGGTGTCTGTGGCTGCTTTCATAATAAAATGGCAGGGTTAACTAGTTGTGACAGAGGCTTAAGGGCCTGCAAACCCTAAAATATTTACTATCTGGCCCTTTACAGAAAAGGTTTGTCAACCTCTAGACTGGGGAATCATGGGCCAAGGAGAAGAATTGAAGAACTGTTGTAATCATTCAGATGAGAGATAAGAGGAGACTGATCTCAGTGTTTCCTATGCACCCCACCTCAATATGGCCAGAATGTAATATAACTTGGGTTTAAGTGAAACAACCTATAAAGTGCAAAGTAAAGTTTCTCTCTGTTTCCCACATACTTTGGTCCTACTCTTATGTGTATGAGGTGCTGACACAGGTTGTGGGTGCTTTTTCTCATGGAGTTGAATCAATAGAGGAAGTAAGACCCAGACTACAAATTACTTGAACTGTTGGTTATGCCTGAGAGGGTTTACAAAAGCTAAGAGGGCCTAGACCACATTCAACTAGGTAGGTTAGCAAGACTGCCTGGAAATGAACTTGAAAGTTGAGCATGGACCATATAACCCTCCTTGGGCTGGCTCTTACCTAATTTCTCTGGCCCTTCCCCACCCCATGCATCTTCTAACAACCTAAACACTACCTCCTTCCCCCCATACAGAGGCACGTAGTCACGTGGACCTTGACAATAGTTCTTGAGCAGTCTCTCTTCATTTTACTGACAGTTGAGTGACAAGGTGTGCAGAACTCTGGCCTGCCTACCAAGGGGGATATGGTTCCTGCCCTGAGAATGTACATTGGAGACAAACATTAACAGTTCTATTTTGATGAGCTAGTAAGTCTTAACTCCCATCCTCTGGTGTACCTCAGTGCTATTGCTGCCTACCCTTGCTGGTTAACAAAGAATACAAGAATTGTGCACTGAGAGAAAATGTTGTAGCTGTTTGCTGAGCTATTTGCATTATAGTTGACAAAAAATGTTTCTAACAGATTGGAAGGAAAGCAACTAGTCCTTCACCTCAGTTAGTTTGAGAAGTTGGAGTATGGATCATCATAACTTGGGTATTTTTGAAAAGAACATTTTTGCATACACATTTCCCTCCTTCCATCTGTCATATAAACAATCAGAGTGTTTTTTTTTTTAATCCATCTTATTGTAAAAGTAGTATGTCTTCATTGTGACAACAACTTGGGAAGTTTTTCATTTTTTAAAAAAGTAAGCCATACATTTGATACAAGCTAACTGTTGGCTCACATTTTGGTGCATTTCTCTGGTCCTTTTTTTCTATTCCTAGATGTATATTTTACATAAATGGGACATTGTATGCCTATTTTTTATTTTACATATCATAAAAATTAACATTTCTAGATTCTTCACTGTGTACTTTCTGTTTGATTACATAGCACTTACTGGTATGATATGCCATATTACCTTTGTTATACCTCTTTGGTATACTGTTCTCTCCCACCAGATTATAAGCTCCTAGTGACCCATTTCATTTATGTATCTTTAGGTGCTTATACTGCCTGGTATAAAATAGGTGTTAACACACATTTACCAAAGGAACCCCAGGTACTGCATATTGTCTCCTATGACCTTGCACAAGTACACTTTCGGCCAGGAGATGCATGCTTCAACAGATTGGGATATTGGATGTCTCAGCTAAGTCTTTATTCCAGAGCCAGTTGGATCATCATGTAGGGCTACATGAGGGACACCTTGCTCTTTACATTTCCTTCCCTTTCCCATCTCAAAGACTTCTAGTTGCCAGTTTCCAGAGACCATTATCCCTTGAGTAAGTAGAGATCTTGACTCTAGAAGCATTTATAAATCATAGTTATTTGTGAAAACTTTGACCAGAGTTTGTATCATTGCATGAGATTGTTTTTAAAAAGTCATATTAGGGCACCTGGATGGCTCAGTTGGTTAAGCATCTGCCTTTGGCTCAGGTCATGATCTCAGGGTCCTGGGATGGAGCCCCATGTTGGGCTCCCTGCTGAGCAGGGAGTCTGCTTCTCCCTCTCCCTGCTGCTTCTGTTTTGTCTCCATCTCAAATAAATAAATAAAAATTAAAAAGTTAAAAAATAAAAAGCCATATGGCATCATGTTGTACACATCGTTCTTTGTTTTTTTCATCTGACAGTGTAACTTGGGAATTTTCCCAAGGCAATACATATAACTGTAATTTTTAAAAAACCAAATAATCATTAAAAATGTATTTTTGTGGTGAAAATTCAAATTCAAAAGGGTGTAAAATGAAAATGAATAGTTCTCCAATCCCCTATTTTTGTTTTAGAGGCTACTGCTATTAGCTCTTTCTTACATATATTCATAAGTACATATATATATTCTTTTAAACATGTAATCTTGTAGAATATATATAATACAGCATCTTGAACATGTTATATCTATATATACAGATGCCTTTTTTAAAAATGAGTGCACAGTGTTCTATTATCTGAAATATAACCATCTCCCTATTGGTGAACTCATTTGATCTTTTTTTGAAAATCTCTTGACTCTTCTAGCTCATGTGAAGTCACTCTTCCTTTGTTAGGAATTTAAATTATTCAACATGATAAACAGTAACTGAATGCCTCCTTCTTTCTTGGCACTCTGCAGGACATGAGTGCCACCAAGTTGCTTGATGTACAGTTCCTTCCCTTGACTTGGAGCTAATCATGGTCTAACAGGAGGGTATTTCTCTTAAGAAACTTAGAACGTGATATGAACTGGAATGGATAGATATGCCTTAGCATACGTATCATTAATTCTATTTTGGGAAGGTTAAAAAGAAGCAATTGATATCAAACTTTAAAGGGTAAGAGATCCTAGATTCCTAGTGAGTAAGGAAAAGATGGTCATTCTTGCAGGGGAGTTAAAGAACAAGATGGGTTGGCAAGAAAGAGCATGTGCTAGGCAAAGAATGACCAATGTGATTGGGACATACGCTGTGGCATGGAGAGGTAGGGATATACTGTTTGCTCAGCAGTTGGTCACAGGAAACATTCAACAAGTGAATAGAAGGATGTGCTCTTTGCCCAAATGGGCTCCAAATCCTCTTAGGGTTGTCCTGTTTGTGCCCTACAGGGGTATATTAACTGCTTCCAATACAGAGGTCTCTTTCTTGAATTGGTCTGACTTAAAACAAAACAAAAGTTTTATCCATTTTTTCACCCTTAACTGTATCATGTCCTCTTTTTTACAGAGTTTAGTTACTTCAAGAAATAGAACAGAATTCAGCCATGGCCCCAAGGAAGAGAGGTGGACGGGGGATTTCGTTCATCTTTTGCTGTTTCCGAAATAATGATCACCCAGAAATCACCTATCGGCTGCGAAACGATAGCAACTTTGCTCTTCAGACCATGGAGCCAGCATTACCCATGCCCCCTGTGGAGGAGCTGGACGTCATGTTCAGTGAACTCGTGGTGAGTCCCCACCTTCCTTCCTGAGGTGTGTGGGAGCCAGCAGGAAGAGGAGAGGAAGTGCTTGGTTTGGTTTGGTTAGCCATGGGCTTGCCCTTCTTCAGTGAAATGACCCCTTTATGTTGGCACCCCAACTGTGAGCACTGAGAGGTGCTCTCTGGAGGAAGAGAAAGAAGAGGGCAGCATTACTACATCAAAGGGCTTTGCTTTAAAGTGTAGGGATTTAGAGCTTTAGGTCTTCAAATATGTGGCAGAACTACATCCTAAGTTGCTCTATTCCTCTCCATCCCAGTCGGAGTCTATATTGTGTGCATAAATAATTGCCTCATCTGCTTCACACCTTCCACAATTCCGTAATGCTTTCTCCACTCCTATTCTCAGTGTAGAGTATTCATGTCATTTTAAAAATTAGTCATACTCTTCCTCCTTTCCTTGTTCCTTTGATGAAAGACATTATTATTTAAGTACAGTATGATTATTTAGCCTAATGACAGGATTGCAGTAATAACTGTTGTGGGAAACTTTTTGTAGATCCTATCATGTTTTAGAATGCACTATACTGAAGTGAGAGATATATCTGGGGTGACTGGATGACGGGCACTGAGGGGGGGGCACTTGATGGGATGAGCACTGGGTGTTATGCTATATGTTGGTAAATTGAACTCCAATAATAATAATAAAAAAAGATATATCTGGTATAGGATCCATTCATCAAAAGATGTAAGTGCTCTCTGTAGCTTATTTAGCCTTTCCCTGTGTACTTTCTGCTTGAAACACTTCTGAGGTAGTGTTTCTTTCCATTCTGTTTTAGGGGATATTATGGCATACTTTAAGGGGTACTGGCATGGGGATTAGGAAGACCTTGGTTCAAATTACTGTTCTGACTTTATTATCTGTGTAAGTATGGAAAAAGCAAATAAGCCTGTTTTCTGGAAAGTGAGAAAAAAAATAATGCCTCTTCCTGGTTTGATGTAATATCTATGAATAATAAATAGTGGCAATGGCCCAATGCCTGGCCCTCGTTAGGTGCTCAATAAATGTAATATGAGTACTCCATCCTCCCTTTATCACCATTGTCATTTTGTAATGGAGTTAGTTCTAATCAGACCATTTATATCATTCAACAGATATTAGAGAGTGCAATCATTTTGCATGACTCTTGAGTCAACAAAGTAACGAAGGCTTTGTTACTGCCCTCCAGGGCTAATATCTGAACGGAGTGGGTCACTCAGCTCTTCTAGGCCAGAATGTACCCATAAGCTTATTGTGTGACATAAGCCCATGAGAGAATACTATGGAGCTGATATTTGAGTTCTGGTCTCCTGAGTGGATTAATGGGCCTATTACCAACTAGAATTGGTTGGGCTCTTGGCAGCATATTTGTATTTTATGATGTTGATGGATACTTTCAATGTTTAAAGAATCTCTTTCCTCTCCTGCCCCTGCATGCAGGGACTCTGTTCTAGGTGTTAATCAGGAGGCTCAACATGGAAAACTAGAACCTGCTCCTAAATAGCTGATAGTTTCAGTAGCAAAAGGAGACCCGTACAGGTTTATAACACCACTAAAGGAAGAAGCACAACCTACCTCTGCAGAGATTGTGGGTAGATGTGTTTTGGAGTGTAGGACGTAGTGATGAGATGGTCAGGGAAGACTTTCTGGAGGAGGTAAGCTGTGAGGAACAATTGAAGGTGAGACAAGAAGTGAGGGGATCGGTGTTAATGGCTGTCTCAGGCATCTTAACCTAGTTCATTCCATGATAGCAAAGCCTTAGAGGTTACAAACTGCTGTAGCTTATCACTTGCTAGTGCTGCGTGTCCACTGTGGGGCTACTGTGGTTCTGTTCCTCACCATCTTTCATCCAAGACCCAGGCCTGAGGGAAGAGGGAGTAGAGACATGGTGAACTGCTAGCAGGCTCTAACCTCAGGCTTAGAAATGTCACTTCTGCCCCCATTTCTTTGGCCAATAAAAGTTACAAGGCCACTCCTGAGTTCATAGGGTAAGGATAGATCATCCTTCTGTAGAGGCTGGCACCACAAATTGCATGGCCAATCCTGAGGTCATGGGAGGTAGGGATGGGGAGGAGGAGGGAGGACACATAGCCCTCTTCCAGGGACAGGCACTGAATCATCTACCGTGATGGCTATCAAGAAGGGCAAAAATGATGTATTCACAGGCTTGGTTTTATTTCCCACTTAAAGTATTTTAAAACCAAAAGTCAACCTAAGGAGATAGATGTTGTTGATAGATGAAAGACTTCTTAGTGGTAGTGGAGCTGGTGGGCAGAACCTAGTACACTCAAAGCATCCATATCCACTGTCTTTTTTTTTTTCCACTGTCTTTTTAATTGTATTCTATCAGACTCTCAAAATGAGACCTAAGCCAGAGCCTGTGTGGTGGCAGCTCCATGTTCATCTTGAAGACGGCTCATTGTTCTGTATTCATAAGGGAGAAAATTCCATTCTCTGCCTTATTGATGTCTTTATTCTGTGTGAAAATTGCCTACAGCTGTTAGTTGTTAAAAAGCCAATGCCAAACCAGGACTTTAAGCTGAAACCATTGGAAAACAAATTATGTTGAGGTTTGTATCTGTCCTGGTGAGTGACGGATGGATTTCTGTCTATTTCTGACTTTGGGGACTTAGACCACAAATCCATCCAATGGCCAGGGGTGTCCTGGGGTAAGAGAGGTGGGTTCAAAGCCACTGGAAATTTCTGTTCTGGGTTCTCTTGAGTGTTCACAGAAGAAGTTCTGCCTCTGCCTATGCACAGGAAAGGGAGGCCATGTGGGGAAGAGGAGAGTCAGATGAAGAGGCATGGCCTGTGGCTTCAGATCACTCTGCAACCTGTGGTGACTTCTTTCACCACAGGTTGGAATTTAAGTTTATTGCCTTGCCTATAAAATGGAGATAATACCATCACTCCGATAGGGTTGCTGTAAAGAAGATGACTTCTTTAAAAAGCCTAGTGTCTATTAAATGCTTTATACCCTACATCCTAATGCAATGAGAGGAATGGAAAGTAATTCAGGTATTTCCTGAGCACAACACCCTAAGCAGATATCCCAGGTTTTTCCTTTTCTTGAAAGATAATCTGCTTACTGTGAGTGAGCCAGAGTGAGTCCTAACTTGCAGGGCATTTTACCTCTATCTGTCGGAAAGCATCTTATCAAAGCCGGTTGTTGTAAGCTGGTTTCCTTTGCCTTTTCTGATGACACAATGGCCTCCCACTTTAAGAGTGGTACTCAGTAGGTTGCTTGCAGAATTGCTTACTGTAGCCTTATCATCTCATAAATAAAGCAAACCTGAATGGGAGGTCAGCTGTGAGGATCTGTAAAGAAGGTGGTTAGCGAGGAGCACCTGCCCACAGGCAGTGGAATCAGACTACTTCCAGTTTCAGGATGTATTGGTTCCTGGAGGTCCCAGTCCAAAACCCTGCTTGTCTTTTCTTTCAAAAACAGCTTTATTGAGTTCTAATTTACAGACTATATAATTCACCTATTTACAGTATATAACTCAGTGGCTTTTAGTATATTCACAAGTTGTGCAGTAATAATCACAATAAATTTTAGAATGGTTTCATGACTCCCTTACCTATTAACTGTTAAGCCTCATTTCTCCCCAATTCAGCCATCCCCTGGCTACCTCTAATCTACTTCTGTTTCTGTGAATTTGCCTATTCTGGGCATTTCATACAAATGGAATCATATGTGGCCCTTTGTGACTGGCTTCTTTCACTCAGCATAATCTTTTGAGTTTATCCATGTTGTATGTCAGTACTTCATTTCCTTTCACGGTTGGATAATACTTCACTGTAGGAACATACCATATTTTGTTTATCCATTCATCATTGATGGATGTTTGGGTTTTTGCCAGTCTTCAGCTATTATTAATAATGCTGTAAAGTATATTCATATATAAGTTTTTGCATGAAAATATATTTTCAGCTCTCATGGTATAGACCTAAGAGTGAAATTTCTGGGCCCTATGGTAACATAATGTTTACCTTTTGAGGAATTGCCAGACTGTTTTCCAAACTGACTATTCCATTTTACATTCCCACCTGCAGTGTGTGAGGGTTCCAGTTTGACCCCATCTTTGCCAACGTTGTTATTACCTCTTACAGATTAACCTGCTGATTTCAAAGCTGTTCAGTAGCTCCTGGAGAACTGAGGATATGTAATTTGGAAATTTTTAAACTATTTTTGTGAAATAGTCTAGAAATAGAAATAGTCTCTATGCTAACAATTTTTAACTGATTTGATATATTTTAAAAAATATTCAGTTAAGGGTTTGTATAATCTCTGCTAACTATGTATTTTATGTCTTTCAAGCATTAATCCTTTTTTTTTCCCTGTATTACTTCTCCCACTTTCTTGCCCCATTTTTTTCTGCTTTGTCTTTTGCTTCAGCCACAAATTCTAAGCATAACCAATCTGAGACTCAACACTGTTCGCATCAAATAAGATTTAGCTATGGTCTTTCTACAGCCTTTTAAAGTTCTTAGATTATTTTTGCCAACCTATTTGAAGACTCCTAGGCATTATAACTCTGTAAGTTCTCCTTATTCAAGTAACTTTTTCATCTCAATGTTAGAAGATTTCCTTTGGGGTGAACAGAAGAATGTGTCATTAATTGGTCAGTATTTTTTGGGTGTATGTGTGTGATAAGTACCTGCTCTATGTGCTGAAGTAACTGGTAAGCAAAGCAGTCATGGTTCTTCATTAATCTGTGGTGCTGAAGGCCTAGTGGGGGAAACAGGCAATTAAATATGTAATCTTATCCAGTGTGCCTGAGGATTATGAGAGCTCCTCCAGTAGTATATATTGTTGAAGAAGAACGTTCAGTCCTCCTTTTTCACGAGAGAGGGAGTCCCGCTCACAGGTTCCATGTGTATAACCTTAGCTCTCTTGCCCAGTAACTCCTAGCTTCTCTTCCAGCTCCTCTTGGGAATTGCATAGCTTAGTCCTTCTTTCTTTCTCGACTTCTCTACAAATCAACTTG